TATTAGATATTAAGGACTTGTTTTAAAAAATTTTAGGCGTGATAATAGTACTGTAGTTATGTTTTAAAAAATTAAGAGTCCATATCTTACAAAATGATATGATGTCTGGGGGTTTGCTTTAAAATAAGATGGAGGGGAGTAGGGGAGAAGATATAGATAAAACAACATTGGCCATAGTTGATAATTGTTGAAGTTGTGATGAATACATGAAAGATTATTTTGCCATTTTCTCTCATTTTGTATATATTTGAAATTTCCCACAATAAATCTTTTAAAAAGCTTTTTAATAACGCAGCCAGGGCCGGCCCCGTGGCTTAGCGGTTAAGTGCACGTGCTCCGCTGCTGGCGGCCCGGGTTTGGATCCCCTGACACACTGCTTCTCCGGCCATGCTGGGGCCGCGTCCCACATACAGCAACTAGAAGGATGTGCAGCTATGACATACAACTATCTACTGCGGCTTTGGGGGGGAAAAAATAAATAAATAAAATCTTAAAAAAAAAAAAACGCAGCCAATTCTACACATCATCGGAATTACTGCATTTCACAAATTCAAACATAAATATGTCTCCTACCATTTCACATCTCTGAAATCAAGACACATCTTACAGTGAATGGTGTATCAGTTTAACTGGTAGTAATTTTTCTTAGTGATACATAAAATGGTGTATTTAGAAACTGATAGCACCTTAAATTCAATAAAAAACTGTAAGATTTTAAATATATCTAGATATCTATTTCTTCTTAGCTAAGTCATTATTTGCATTGGCCCCTAGAAAGCAAGAGTTCAAAAAAACTCTTGGCTATCTGAATTTTCTTACTTGCTTGGAATTAATTCAGTTACAATAAGAGAAGCATTAAAATAATACTTTAGCCAATATAAAAACGAACTTAGCCCCCAAACTAGCATTAGTGGTAGAGAGGATCTGGAGAACATGGGGCAAAAGTCTACCTAAAGTGTAAAAATAAATTGCTGCAGTTATTCCACCAGGTTGAAAAACTACAGTAAAAACTGATTCTAGCTGACCAGTCTGCCTTTTCTTCATGTTTAAGAAAGGAGTTCCTGGGGCTGGCCCCGTGGCTTAGCGGTTAAGTGCACACACTCCGCTACAGGCGGCCCGGGGTTTGGATCCCGGGCACACACCAATGCACCGCTTGTCAGGCCATGCTGAGGTGGCATCCCACATACAGCAACTAGAAGGATGTGCAACTATGACATAAAACTATCTACTGGGGCTTTGGGGAGAAAAAGGGAAAAAAAAAAGGAGGATTGGCAATAGATGTTAGCTCAGGGCTGATCTTCCTCACAAAAATAAATAAATAAATAAATTTAAAAAATGACGTGGAATATTTAATGTTATGAAAAATGTTGATGTAATGTTAACTGGGGAAATGTATACCCAATGGTTCCATTTTTGTCTTAGAAAGTATATACATGTTTATTAACAGGAACTCAAAGAAATTATGGTACACCCATTTAATGGAATGCTAGATGAAGCTACTCTCCGTGTCCTGATACGGAATCATTCTAAGACTTGGTGAAAAAGGCAGACCTTAAAAAAAATAGTAAGGCCGCACTATATGGAACTGCTATGAAACCAATTTCTAACGTACACTGTTAAGTGTAAAAAGCACCCAATAAAATTTAATTTAAAAAAACTGTTTCAGGCTTATGCATTCTACTCTCTACCAGAAAAAACACTGGAAACTTAAAAGTATTTTCCATGTAAAAATTACATTTTTGGAAAATTAAGAAATAAAACCATGTCCCCTCTGACTTCACAGATCAGTGAGTGCTTGAATGAGCAAAAGCACTTCTCCAGCTCAAATAATTTTACTACCAAATTTATATTAAACCCATAAAGTTCTTGAACTGCAAATAAAGTGAAAATCACTGTCAAAACTAACTTCCTAAGCTAAGTAATAAAATTATTAGATATGAAATCCATTCTGGAATTATGCTCCATAGAAAATTTCAAAAGCAGACATAAACTGTGTTAAATTATAAAAGCTTATGAAAACAGATAAAGGCACATAGCTATTGGTATACATATTGAAAACTAAATGCTCAAAGAGAGGTAGAACACTGTACCCTTTTAGAGACATAGCCAGTGGGCCATGAAAAGGTATCTAAACACCCAGGCATCCTGAGGTCCCTTATTCAGAAGCCTCTGTTCACTCAGCCTCTACCTTATTTGTCCTCAGACACACCAAAAGGAATTGTCATTCGGAGACAGCAATGGTTAGTAACCAGGGCTTTGGGGTATGTCAGACCTGGGCTGGAATCCTAGCTTTACAATTTTCTAGGGGAGTAATGTGGCAAATCTCAATTTCCTTATCTGTAAAGTAACGTGGAGATCATTATCAACTAGTTAAAGGTAGTAAATAAGAGTACAGTGTCTGAAAAAGTGAAATGGAGAAGAAATTCTTCAAATGAGACGACTAAAAATCCCCAAGTCAAATCTTTCAGCACAGTGAAAGAACCCAAAGGAAACAAATCCTAAAGAGCACTGAGCTGGAAGGCAGGAGCCCTGGATTCCAGTTTTGACTCTGCTACAACCAGCTCCAGCTCCCTGGGCATATTATTTCATATATGTAGGGTCTAGTTTTAAGATCTACAAAACCAGGGGACTGAAAATCCTTTCCACCTGTACCACACCATGATCGAATTACTATGATGCTATTTATTGTTTTATTTCCAAAAGTTTCTAAAATTTTTCATTTAACTTTGGTCCTGATCGGCTTTCATTATGACTGAGCTATCAGTCATAACAACATCTAAGACTGTTTCCTTAACTAAGTTATCTAAGATCAGATCACTAAAAAAGTGGCAAAATCAGAATTCAAACCAGATCTGACTCACTCTGAAGACCAAACTCTACGGCAATTCTTTTTCCTCAGACTTTTTCCCTGACTAATCTGGGAAGTAGCAGTTTGCGTTTCCAAAATGACTGGAAGTCAGGAGTGCAGTCAAGAGTCATGGAACAGAGTCAAGTTACCTGAGTCAGGTGGGGCTTGAACTTCTGACAACAGTACTCTAACCAAGCTAATAAATTAGACATTTCAGCTACTTAAAAGGAGGCTGGAGAAACAAAAAAAGAAAGTTTTTCTTGATAATTTTACCTATTAGTTGAAGAAAAACACAAAAATAAAAGCACCTTTTCTGAAACTACAGGTAAATGGGAGTGGTACAATCACATATGTTTTCAGGAGTCAAAGTTATACAAGATGAAATATTCAGTAAAATAACTGCTAGATTATTTGTACTATTTGCTTGCTTTTGTGCGAGTACTGAAATAATTAAAAACACAAATTAACTCTAAGTTACCCACTGTAGTGAATGGAGTAATCCAAAGTACATATATTTGGCTTTAGAAATAAAGCATATGGTCTAAATAGATAATCCAAAGTAATGAATATTTTGTGTTAAAAATTAAGTGTATGATCACCTATATATATTTACTTCCAAAATTATAGGTTGATCAGGCTAATATTAAGATTAATTTCCCATGTGGAGAGACCAGGACAGATGACTTCCAAATAATACAGTGAATAATAAAATCACCACCTCCTTACATCAGCAGAAAATATAACATTTTATGACACATTCACATCAGCTCCACAGGGAATAACAAAACTAAGGCACACACACACAAAATAACCTTTAAATTCCCACTGCATACTAGAACCAGGTTAGCTCCTTGATGTTTCCTTTAAAACCAATCTGACACTAAAAACTGGTTTTCAAATAATCCATACATGGATAATCAAGAGGAAAATACACACACATCTATAAACACATTTAAATGTGCTGGTTACCAAGCACTTTACAAAACAAAAAATTTCATAAGACAGTTGATAGAAATGGAGCAAGAGGTGAGATCACCTACCACTTTAGCTCTATGGATAGAGGTCATTATGTGCTCTCCTCAAACATTAGGTAGCCGCCAAAAACGACACAAACACACACACACCTATCTGGTAGTGTCATTCAGAAAGGTAACCTAGGAAAGCCTCTGAATTGCGTTTTATCAGCTCAGAAAGAATTAGACGGGATGCAACTCCAAATAACATCAAGTGAGTGAAAAAGTGTCAAGAAAATAATACATTTTTTTCCCTGAATACAAATTAGCTAAAAGACAGTTTCCAAGACCCTTTGCAATTAAACGTTAGTACAAGATAAAAGTTCTTTAGGCTAAGCCTCACCCGCAGAAGCCCTCTACTGGGCGTTTCTACTAAGCTGTGGCCAACTTCTGTGTTTCCCACAATAGCGCTAAGCCACGGTTATGCATCCTGCTGATAAAACCGCACATGTGGCCCTTAGTACACCAAACCAGAATCATCAACAGTGTTGGCTAAAGCCCGTCATTTTTGGAGGCCCACTCCAGAAGGTATCTGCATCCAGTGCGAGGGCTTGAGGCTTAGAGAAGACAGGCAGTAACAGAAACTGGCTGTACACAGTGGTCTGCCTGCACACTGCAAAGAAGGCGATGCGCCCTGCTGGCTCAGGAAGTTGACTAACCCAGAGAAAGATCCAAGCCCTCCTCTAGAAAAGGGAGCGTGTGGCTGGCAGACCAAAACACGGAGAATACATTCAAGAATTCCCCGCCCGCCTACCGTGCAGACGGAGGGATGAAAGCAGGTATGGAAGAGACCAGAGTTCACAGACAGACTGATAATGATCTACCAGCTCCGCTGGGAGGCCCAAGCAGGGGAGTTGTGCCTCCTCGCTGGAGTTGGGGAGGTCATGTACGGACGGGCTCTGGTCCTCCTCCAGCAGCCTTTCCAGCAGGCCCGGGGCTGCTGGGACCCAGGCCTGGCCTTCAGCGACAGAAGCTCCCTTCCACATGGTTCGTGCAGAGCGGCCCTCCCAGGCCGCCCCGAGGCCATGTGGCTGGGGCCGCAGGGTGCCCAACCCCGGGGCACGTTCAAGCCGTGAAGCCAGACGAGAGGAGATGCGGGAGGAAATCCAAAGAATGGGATGTTGGGGTACGAGACTCACTTCCTCTGGGCTTTGTCCTTCTTGGCCTTGGTCCTTTTCTTTCGGGCCTGGAGCGCAAGCACTGCGGGAGAGAGGGATGGATGAAGGGCGAGTGTGGAGGGAAGGAGGCGACCAAGGTGAGGGTGGAGACGCGGCAGGGGCGCGAGGCCCGGGCGCGGGGCCTGCCCGAGGCGGGGCTCCGGGGC